GCTTGTGCTAGTTTTCCTGTCACACCTGAAACTACAAAAAGTTACAGCCATAATGCAACATAACTACTTAGGAAGAAAAAAACATTTGCTTTGGGGACTGAAGACATGAACAGAAACGTTTCCCAACTGACAGCAGTCAGGTTAGTACCAGCTACAGTTTCAGGTACTCACTGGGGGTCTTAGAATGGATCCCCTGAGGATAAGTGGGGACCACTGCATAAGAAAAGGTTCTTTTCCTTAGGAAAAAAATCCTGAATCAGTGATAAAGGAACATGATGTCTCCAACTTATCTCAAACAATTTGGAAAAAATGTATTTATTTGCGCATGCATGCACACATGTATGTGTATGTGTTATATACATGTGTGTCTATGTGAAGAAAGAGAACGATAAAGCAAATACAACTTGTGGTGAATCTAGATAAAGGCCTTACAGAAGTTCCTTATATTATTCAAAATTTAAAAAATCAAAACAAAAACTTACACTACCCCCCAAACAAAGGCAAAATAATTACCTTGATTATAGTAGACACTGAACAACATATTCTTGAGATAAAATGAAACATACAACAGAAAACATAGTCATTTTTAAAGCTGAATTTTAAAGCACTGTTTTATACCTCAAGGTACCATAGAGCTTTGATTAAAATGATAGCTACCTTGAATTTTTTACACATATTCTTAAGTTTATACCTTACAAACGTATTTCCAGTATCAGCTCTAAAACAGAGAGCAGAGTGGTTAACAACAGGGCTCTGGACTCATATAAACACAGGCCTAAATCCCAGTGCCATCACTTGTTGGCCGGCTTTTTTGATACAGTGTCTTGCTCTGTCGCCAGATGCCAGGCTGGAGTACAGTGGCATAGTCTCAGCTCTCTGCAACCTCCGCCTCCCAGCTTCAAGCAATTCTCCTGCCTCAGCCTCCTGAGTAGCTGGGACTACAGACGTGCGCGACCACGCCCAGCTAATTTTTATATTTTAGTAGAGACGGGGTTTCACTACTTTGGCCAGGATGGTCTCGATCTCTTGACCTCGTGATCCGCCCGCCTCGGCCTCCCAAAGTGCTGGGATTACTGGCATGAGCCACTGCGCCTGGCCTTTTTTATTTTTTTGAGTTGGGGTCTTGCTCAGGTCTCCCTCTGTCACCCAGGCTGGAGTGCAGTGGTGCAATCACGGCTGGAGTGCAGTGGTGCAATCACAGCTGACTGCAACCTTGAACTCCTGGGCTCAACGGATCCTCCCATCTCAGACTCCCAGATAGCTGCGACTACAGGTGCACAACACTGTGTCTGGCTAATTTTGTTTGTTTGTTTTAAATAGAGATAGGGTCTTGCTTTGTTGCCCAGGGGGCTCTCAAACTCCTGGCCTCAAGTGATCCTCCTGCCTCAGCCTCCCAAAGTGTTGGAATTACAGAAGTGAGTCACCACTCGCCTTTGCTGGCTAATTTCAGGCAAGTTACTAAATCTCTCTGAGCCTGAATTTCCTCATTTAAAAAATACATATTATAATAGTTTCTAACTGTGAAGACTTTTTGTGAAGATATCAAAGAACAATACATGAAAAGAACTCAGCACATTCAGGCTGGGTGTGGTGGCTCATGCCTGTAATCCCAGCTGCTCAGGAAGCTGAGGCTGGAGAAATGCTTGGATCTGGGAGGTGGAGGTTGCAGTGAGCCAAGACTATGCCACTGTACTCCAGCCTGGGTGACAGAGAGAGACTCCATCTCAAAAAACAAAACAAAACAAAACAAAACAATTCAGCACATTCAGAATGCATGTTGTTCTTATTTTTTTTTTTTAGAATATCAAAAGAAAAGTATTATTTAACCTAAAAGATAATGAACTAAATGCCGAATCTCTTCTGACATGGAGGCTATGATCTGCCTCTTTCTAAAAAGTAAAGGCAAAAAAAAGCTATGAGTCAAAGGGGACCAGCTCAGTGTTTAAACTAAAAGTTAAAATGTTAATAAAACATAAAATTCCCCCTTCAACTAGATTCCAATGTTAAAATACTTTTAGAATAGTATGTTACGTATTCTTTTAATTTTATTTAATGTATTAAATAATGTATTAATTTTTAAAGTTTATTATTTAATGTATTTAATAATTCATTAAAGAATATGTACCTTTGGTTCTGCTTGGTTTACTCAAGTATATTATGTTCAATAGGTGAGATTTAGACATTTTTAAAAAACATCCTTAACACCTGTTTGGATTTCTGTAAAGAAGAACTACTTAACTACATGGAATCTGCAAGCATTTTTTTTTTTTTTTTTTTTTTTTTGAGATGAAGTCTTGCTCTATTGCCCAGGCTGGAGTGCAATGGTGTGACCTCAGTTCACTGCAACCTCTGCCCACTGCAACCACCGCCTCCTGGGTTCAAGCGATTCTCCTGCCTCAGCCTCCCAAGTAGCTGGGACTACAGGCACCTGCCACCATGCCCAGCTAATTTTTGCATTTTTTAGTAAAGATGAGATTTCACCACGTTGGTCAGGCTGACTCAAACTCCTGACCTCAGGTGATCCACCCGCCTGGGCCTCCCAAAGTGCCGGGATTACAGGCATGAGCCACCACGCCCAGCCTGCAAACATTTTTAAGAGTAGCAAAATTTTATTAAAGTAAGAAATCATAAATTCTGTCATTTATCAGAATTTATAAACTCACAGGCCTTCATAGGCCAAGTATCAGCAATAGGGTAGGGAAGAATGAGACCACAATGAGTGGACCTAAAAAATACTCTGCCTAAAGGCACTCACATTCGAGTTTTGTTTCATTTTTAAACATTGTGCCACAAATGTTCAGGCTGAGCTCAGCTCAGGGGGCACCTGTTTTGACCACTGATTTTCAGATTTTAAGCCCTCAGAACCTTGAGATATATACTTGTATGTATATTTGGTGTCTTATAAAAGATAATAGAAAATTTCTGAAAATGAACACTCATGCACATCAGACACACAGGGAAATTTCTCACACCTATAATCCCAGCACTTTGGGAGGTTGAGGCGGGTGGATCAGGTGAGGTCAGGCGTTCAAGACCAGCCTGGCCAACACGGCAAAACCCATCTCTACTTAAAAAAAAAAAAAAAAAAAAAAAAAAAAAAAAAAAACAATATAAAAAAAAAAAAAAAAAAAAAAATATATATATATATATATATATATATTTGTGTGCATATATACATACAAACACACAAAAATTAGCCATTTTTGTATATATATAGTTTGTATGTGTATGTATATATACATACACACACACACATGCAAAAATTAGCCAGGTGTAGTGGTGCGCACCTGTAGTCCCAAAGGTTAAAGTGGGAGAATCACTTGAACCTGAGAGGTAGAGGATACAGTGAGCAAAGATTCCGCCACTGTGCTCCAGTCTGGGTGATAGAGTAGTGAGACCCTGTCACCAAAAAAAAGGAAATTTTTCAATGACTTCTAAAAGGCAGTCATATCATTAAAGATATCCAAAGTTGGTTATCTCTTCCACTTTGTATTCTTAAGATACGTTTTTAATATGCCATAACGTATAAACTTTTAAAGTTCCTAACAAGTCTGAGATTTTTAAGATTCCATGATTAATGGAACAATTCCTTCATACCAGTAACAACTATGCACTCATGCAATTATGTAATTATTACAAAAATATTAAAACTTGTTAAATTCATTAACTGCTAAAATGTTTGGCCTACTTTTTTTTTTTTTTTTTTTTTTTGGGAAAGAGTCTCGCTCTGTTGCCCAGGATGGAGTGCTATGGTGCGATCTCAGCTCACTGCAGTCTCCACCTCCTGGGTTCAAGTGATTCTCCTGCCTCAGCCTCCTGAGTAGCTGGGACTACAGGTGTGCACCACCACACCCAGCTAATTTTTGTATTTTAGGAGAGACAGGGTTTCACCATGTTGGCCAGGATGGTCTCGTGATCCACTCACCTAGGCCTCCCAAAGTGCTGGGATTACAGGCATGAGCCATCACGCCTGGCCCAGCCTAACTTTTATTGAAAAAATTCAATTTGCATTTTTTACATGGTACAATGCAGCCTCTATCTCACTGAAATACCTGTTAATCATTTAACAATATTCTTAGATAGTAACCCCTCCTTTATTAAATTCTTTCTAGATGTTCTCCAATAAGTGTATCAGAAAAACAGGGTACATTTAAGTAAACAACATCCAATGCTTCCAAAGTCCAAAGCAATCTCTTTTCCTGCTGGATTCCCTAGCATTTACATTATTATTGTTTTATAGTATTAAAGATATATTTTTGATATGTTTTATCTTCTCTATTATACTTTAAACTACATAATGGCAGAAATCATGTCTTATTCATCTTTATTCCCTAATAAGAAGCATTTTGTCCTTGCATAAAAGGTGATCATAAAAAAGAAATCCAAGAGTAACTTTCTTTTTTCCAGCATAATGATAATCTCAAGTTAAACTTTTTCCAATTCTTACATAATTCAAATTTTTCTGCTTTCAAAAACTCTGCAACTCCGAAAAGCTCTCAGCATTAGCAGCTGGTTATGTTACTATTTAAATAATTATTATTAATGTTTTTAATTTTTCTGAGATGGAGTCTCACACTGTTGTCCAGGCTGGAGTGCAGTGGTCTGATCTTGGCTCACTGCAGCCTCAGTCTCCCAGGTTTAAGAGAGTCTCTTGCCTTAGCTTCACGAGTAGCTGGGATGACAGGTGTATACCACCACATCCGGCTAATGTTTATATTTTTAGTAGAGACAAGGTTTTGCCATGTTGGCCTGGCTGGTCTTGAACTCTTACCTCAGGTGACCCACCCAGCTTGGCCTCCCAAAGTGCTGGGATTACAGGCACGAACCACCACACCCAGCCAGCAATTATTTTATTAGATAAATATTACAATAACCTTATATTCTTTCAAGAAAGTAAAACTTAAAGCATGTTACTTAAAACTAAGCTTAGGTTTTAACATTTATTTCAGAGAAAGATCCTAAGTTTTTGGAAAGTATTATTTACAATCATTAAGTCTTACCTGAGGATTCCAACCTGGATCTAGCTTTCTAACTACTGCAATATATTCCTGCATTGCTTGGCTGGGGCTTGAATCACCAAGTGCTTTCCATGCTTCCCTACAATATGGAATATCCAAAATGGCCTGTCATTAACTATGCAAATAACACAAACAGCATTTTTCTTATTATTAAAAAAATTGTATGCACATTTCAAGGGTCTTGGGATATAGAGATAATAAGCTATTGGATAGAGGAGTTCTGTCTTTCTGCATGTACATTGGTCTAGAGCTATACAGACTTTATTGCCCTACTTAGGAAGCCTTTTCAAACATTTTTTTGTCCTAATCGCCCTCCCCTATGAAATTTTAATAACACAGATACACTGCTTATCTATTAAATTCTGAACGACTACAAACCACTGTAATCTAAGATTTTGTCACTCCCTCAAACCAATTTTCACACCTATTGAGAATGTATGGTCTACAGGCTAACAGAGATTGTTCTCATAAATTAACTGTGCTTACGGCATTTTGGTCATATAGAAACTAAACATCACATAAAAAACACATTCCTGAGGAAAATGGATCAAACTTCTTACTTAAGATACAAGAAATCCACCTTCCCTTTCTGCTGTTATCTCATCTATAAGCTACAATCAACTGATCCTGAGAACTTAGACTGGGACTTCAAAAGTAAGGAATGACTCACACCTGTAATCCCAGCACTTTGGGAGGCTGAGGTGTGTGGATCACCTGAAATCAGGAGTTCGAGACCAGCCTGGTCAACATGGTGAAACCCCGTCTCTACTAAAAATAGCTGGGCATGGTGGTGCACACCTGTAGTCCAGCTGCTCAGGAGGCTGAGGCAGGAGAATTGCTTGAACCTGGGAGGCAGAGGATGCAGTATGCTGAGATGGTGCCACTGCACTCCGGCTTGGGCAACAGAGCAAGACTCCGTTTCAAAACAACAACAACAACAACAGAATACTAATTAGTAAGTTAGGGACTTCCTACAGTATACATGTCAAAAGCGACATTTTAGTCGTGAACTCCCTTTTGGGTCACACTTTTTTTTCTTTTTTTTTTTTTTTTTTCCTTTTTTTTTTTTTTTTTCTTTTTTTTTTTTTTTTTTTTTTTTTTTTTTTCCTGCAGGCTGCTAGGACAGGCCTCCTTCTTGGTTTTTCCCTGCCAATTATTTCTAATTCCAACCAGGGCTTATCTATTTCCTTGATTCACTGTCAAACAGAACTCAGTCCCACATTTTTTTCATTACCTTCCTCCTTCTATAATGAATATATTTTTCTAAGGTCTTCTAAATTTTACTAAATTCCTTGCAAGTTACTTATATGCATCATAACACTTCATCCCTAAACAGATCAGCTTACACAAACTCAGGAAATTTACCATCAATACTATTATAGAGGCTATACGTTCAGATTTTCCTGATTGTCCCAATAATTTCCTTTATGGCTTTCTTCTCCACACCAGGAACCAATCAAGATCCACACACAGCACTGAGTTTCATGCATCTTTAGCTTTTTTGTCTTCCATATTGTTGGTATTAAGAGTCCAACTGTTTTATAAAATATCCCTCAATTTGAATTTGTCTAATTGTTTCCCATCTACATAGTGTTCTTGCCAAAAATGATCAATCATAATTAGAACCAGGTTAAAGTATTTCAGCAGAGCCATATATAGGTGACAAGACCTTTACAATGCACCTCACTGGTCTGATGCACTGTAATCTGATGCATCGGTCAGTCTGTCCCATCACCAGTAAGATTCATGGCTTGGTAAAGGCAGTATCTGTCAGGTTTCTTCCTCATAATAAAAAAGCAAACTGTGGGTCAGCCTGTAACCTACAGTTTTGCTCCCCAGTAGTTTTTCACCTAGCATTTTAACAACGGATTGCCTCAATAGTTTTTCCCCAATATTTCCCTCGTATTTTGTCATCTACCATTTTAGCATTTGTTGATGCTCTAGCCTAAACTATTATTATGATGGCTATAAAATCTAATGTTCTTAATTGCTAAAAACAATGGAGAAACAGGCAAAGTATAGGAAAAAAATGAAGCCATAAAATTTCATAAATTATAACAAAAACCTCACAGTAAAAGTTAACATCAGGTATTTAGAATAGTAATAAAATGCCAGAAAACTGCTGGTTATCATCAATCAAAAAACTTGTGCAAGAACATAATCAATGCACTGCTTCCTGCACTGAGACAGTCCTATACAAAAATATATCAGCTGAACTAAACAGTATGGTTAGTGACATAAGTGATTTATACATGGGTTCAAGCCCTGTATCTCCTTACATTTGGGTAACAAACTGTTGGCAGGCAGGAAATTTATCAAGGGGACCAGATTTTGTGTGGGACTGTTCCAGAATGCAAGGTCAAAACCCATATTTTAGCACTTCCTCTCTCCATAACCACATTTCATCTTTTTTCTTTTTTAACTCTACCTTCTAACCTTCTTTTCATTCCAGGGCTGATGCTCCAAAGCCTTCCTTTCTATAACTAAGATTCCCAGTTGTATGCAATTTCTCTTTTTCCACTTAGGCAAGGTAAGAGAAGATAAGGTCTCATAAATGACTAGAGGAATTTTCTGAATTGTAAGTTTAAAAAGTTTGCAGAAGATTAATCTTTTTTTTAACGTATTCAAAGAAAAAGCAAAGTTAGTATCTAGTTTTGGTTTCTCACTGAACTTTTCCCCCTTCTTCCCAAGAGTACTATGTGCACTTATTTACCGTGGCATGAGTGGGGCAAGGAACACAAGAGTAGCAAGAGACAAGGAGATAAAATTGAGACAGGGGAGAAGGGTAAAAAATGGGGATTTATCCTGCTCTTCTGCCCTTCCTATCGTTCTGGCAAGATCCCTCCAGGGGGGAGAAGTGGTGATCCATTAGGGGCTGAATGATAGAAAAGGAAAATCTCAAGCAAGAGCTCTCACAGTTACTCTCTCATGTATTAAAATGTAAGGCATGTCTGTAGGTCTGTTGTGAACCACTTATATTCCAACATGTGAGCATAAGAATCCTTCAGGAGACTTAGCTAAAAGTAGATTTCTTTAATCTCTCTCCCAATTACCTGTCACTAGTACGGTCTACAGCAGAGAGATTAATATAAAAATAATTCTTTAATCAGCTCACTGCTTTCTAGTTCCTTAACACCTTAACCCTTTCCAACAACCTCATTAAAGATTCCAAGAATTTCTTACCATTTTTGCTTTCCTTCAAAATCAAAGAAGCTTGGTTTAGGAGTATTGCAATTTCCAACTTTGACCTAAATGAAAGAGGGAAAATCAAGAACTTATTTTTCAAAGAAATGTCTGGGAAACTTTTCCTTTTCAAATGTATTATGTATATTTAGTAACTATAGCTTGGAAAATATTTGCATCTATATGGAACAGCAAAATTTAACATTCTTTGCAAAAGCAAACAACAACAACAACAAAAAAAACCAAACAGAATCAAACTTTACATACAGCCTACTTTGGTTTACTGCATAAAAGAACTATTATCTAATACTGTAATAGAGAAAAACTGGGATAAACGGTTACATTTCCTAGACTAATTATATGTAAGACAAGTTATCAATATAGATTATATACACTTCCTTATCATTTATAAAGTAAAAGAATGTTTTAACATACAATTAATAAGCTTCAGAGGTATTTATCAGAATTCATAATATAATTTCTTCAGGCTGATTCTTGTAACTCTATTAGCATTTCCTCTCTCCAAAATTCCAGGAAATAAGTGTACTACTTTTAAAGTGCCCTATTATGAAAACTCATCAATACAAATTTGGATGCCAAAAGCCATGCAAAAAAATTTCAGGGGTTTTCAACAATAAAATTCTATTTTTCTACAACGTCTTACCTCTTGTTTGTGGTCAATACTTAATTTTCATTAATTTTAATCCTCACATGACATTTGTAAACTGTATAGTTAGTATTTTCATTGAGAATAAGCATAAGTGAAATTCAAACAAGTGCAGAATTCACTATACAGCCCCCAGTTCCCACTGCCAGAAGTAATCTTCCTTCCTCATGAACTCTTATATCATTTACTCTATATATCTTCTATGGTACTTTACACTTTTTGCACCATGTGTTAGAAAGTTTTCTGTAAAGTGTCATCTTTCTGTTAGAATAGAGCCTGTAACTAACTGTTCTTAACTCATCCACAGCACCTATCTACTTCTCACGGACTTTCCCTCTGTCACCCATTATTTTTACACACTTGAATTCTGCTAAAATCTAACTGATGCCTTCATCTAACCAGAATGATCTACTCACTCCCTTAGGGATTCCTAGTTCAGGGTTTTGCTTGTGACTCCACTCACCTAAAATGCCTTTTCTTCCTTCCTCAGCTTTTCTTTCTTTCTTTTTTTTTTTTTTTTTTTTTTTGAGAGGGAGTTTCGCTCTTGATGCCCAGGCTAGAGTGCAATGGTGCGATCTCAGCTCACCGAAACCTCGCTTCCCAGGTTCAAGCAATTCTTCTGCCTCAGCCTCCCAAGTAGCTGGGATTACAGGAGCGCACCACCACGCTTGTCTAATTTTTTGTAGTTTTTAGTAGAGACGGGGGTTTCTCCATGTTGCTCAGGCTGGTCTCGAACTCATGACCTCAAGTGATCCACCCACCTCGGCCTCCCAAAGTGCTGGGATTACAAGTGTAAGCCACCGTGCCCCCTTGTAATCCTAGCACTTTGGGAGGCCCACCCCCTTCCTCAGCTTTTCAAGCAAGATGCGCATCCTTCCAGTTCTACTCAAATTTCAGATTCTAAGAACCCTTTCAGTCTATAATGATCTCACCTACCTCTGAATTCATATCAATTACCACCTCTATCGTTTGCTTAGCGATTAATCACATGGCCCTCTGCTGTTATTAAAATGTATACTTACATAGGAGTAGCCCTGTTACCATGGAATGGAGAGAACAAAGGGTGAGACAGAAGGAGCCTTTGTTGAAGAATCACTTGAGAATTTCTTGATTTTTCAAGAAATCACAGACATTTCTTGAAGAATCACCATGGACCAAACACTTTACATATTTTATCTTGAATGAGCCAAAAAATAATCCTGCTAGGTATGCCATTACAAACTCATTTTATAAATGAGGATAGAGAAACTCAGGAGGGTTGTCTCAGTTCACACATTAATAAATCCTGAATCAGCAGTCTGGATTTAAATCCAAGAGTGTTTGACTCCAAAGTTCAATATTCCTTTACTACATCATTCTGCCTTAAATCCTAAATAGAGTCTGGGCTTCCATTCTGCACTGTCTAAAATCACATTAACTACCAGATTGTTAGCCTGTAATCCCAACACTTTGGGAGACTGAAGTGGGTGGATCACCTGAGGTAGGGAGTTCGAGACCAGCCTGGCCAACATAGTGAAACCCCCTCTCTACTAAAAATACAAAAAAATTAGCTGGGCATGGTGGCGCGTGCCTGTAATCCCAGCTACTCGAGAGGTTGAGGCAGGAGAACCACTTGAACCTGGGAGGTGGAGGTTGCAGTGAGCCAACATGCCATTGCACTCCAGCCTGGGCAACAAGAGTGAGACTCCATCTCAAAAAAAGAAAAAAGGAATATGAAATAAATTATACAAGCTTTAAGACATCATAAAAATAGCAGTTATAACTGTTTTTATTTTTTAACCAGACACCACCCAGTTGTACAAACAAATGCCAATAGTTCTTCTCCATTTCTCCTATAATAACAGAAGGCTGGACACAGGATCTTCCAGCTACACATTACACATGGCCATCCAACTTCTGCCTGGGTTCTGGGGACTGGATGTGTATAAGAGTGATTAAAATACCTTCCTTAAAAAGAAAAGGAGCTTGTCTTCCTCTTTCCCTTGGCTCTGGATAGAATTTACATGTGGTGAAGGTAAGCCACCTCTGACCATGAAAATGGAACTCAGGGAAGTAGTTTTCAAATTTTTTAGTCTTGTAATCCCTTTATATTCTCAGAAATTAAGGATCCTAAAGAGCCATCATTTACATGGGTTGTATCTATCAATATTTACCATATTAGAAATTAAAACTGAGACATTTTTAAAATGTGTATTATTTCATTTAAAAATAATAAACCCATTAGATGTTAACATAAATAACATTTCATGCAAAATAACTATATAGTCTAAAAACAATTAGTGAGAAAAGTAGCACTGTTTTACATTTTTTAATTTCCTCAATGTCTGGCTTAGTAGAAGCCAGTTGCATTTGCATATCTACTGCTGCATCCAATCTACTGCAATATGTTGTTTTGGTTGAAGTGTACGAAGAAAATTCGGCTTCACACAGATATGTTGTTAGAAAAGAGAAGTATTTTAGCAGCATTTTCAAATAATTGTAGATATTCTTCTTTGATACTATGCCAAAACCTAACAGATGGTTGTTTCTTTAAGGTCAGTTGCAGTGAGGAATCTGAACTCAGATCAATGAATTTTTCATACTGTTAACACTGAAATCCATTGGTCTGACTTATACTTTGAAAGGCATCTTTTACCAACACATAATCAATCCATGAAATATTTAGAAAATATGGTTTCCTGAGTTACACAGACTTTTCAAATGTTGACACATTTCATGATATAATAGCAAACGTTCACATTCATGACTGTCACCACTGATTTCATCAAAAAAAGTTTTTAAGTACTGGGAAGCTTCAAGCTCATGGTAGCAGATACAGATTTTCCAAATTTCTCATTTTCACTTTGAAGGCTCAAATGGTATAACTGGCAACAAATATAATAGGCTTATTTCATTCATTTTCAAAAAACTACATGCCAAATACCCAAATCTGAGTAGGTATGATTATCTGTGAGTTGTTCTGTTAAGTAAAAATGATTTCCATGGAAATATAGTTCATTTTGCAACTCAGAAATTACACAAGTGCTTTTCCTCAAAATAGTCAACATAATTCTGTATGCAGCAGAAGTTACTGTGTACTTCCCATCTGATCACACAAAATTTAAGACTTGAAACAACAGTTAACATTAATAAAGTATTATTAACGTGTGGTGGCTCATGCCTGTAATCCCAGCACTTTCGGAGGCCAACGTAGGGAGATCACCTGAGGTCAGGTTAAGTCCAGCCTGGTCAACTATGGCCAACATGGTGAAACCCCATCTCTACTAAAAGTACCAAAATTAGTTGGGCGCGGTGGCAGACACCTGTAATCCCAGCTACTCGGGAAGCTGAGGCAGGAGAATCGCTTGAACCTGGGAGGCAGAGGTTGTAGTGAGCCAAGATCACACCACTGCACTCCAGCCTGGGTGACAGAGCAAGACTACATCTCA